TCACCCACAGCGGCCTACGGCGCATCCTAAAAGTAACGATCGAACTTGCTGTAATCCCCCCTCTCCTCTATTTTCCTCTCAATTTATTCCTTCACTTTCCCTCTCCTTTTCTTCTCGCTCTCGTTCTCGCTCTCACTCTCTCTTCTTCTTCTTCCTCTATTTTCTTTCTTTAAGCTTCCATTAGAGACTCATGTCACTCTGCGTTTTGTGTCAAAAGAACTTTCCAACTCTCAAATCTTTCAAAGCTCACAACAAATCGAAGCATGATCACCTTAAATTTACATGCACCATTTGTTACGCTAAATTTCAATATTCCATTCAACTGCTCCAACACAGAGCCGATGATCATCATAATCATCAACATAATTGTAAGTTTTTTTTAAAAAAAATTATTTTTGATTTATTGTAACACTAAATTGCATCCAAAAAATTAACCTTGACAAGTTCAATTTAAAATTTACATGAAAACGAAAATTAACAAATTACATGAAATAGGAACATAAAAAATAATTTAAAAATCACTTTTAAAAGACAATATTTTGAGAATATGTTTTAATGAAAAGATAGAAATAAGAAATAAAAGCTAAATAATATAATAATTTAAGCTATATCTAATATTTTCCTTGAATCTTAGTGGTGATCCCTAAATTTGAAACTCTACGCCCTAAATCCCTAAAACCTAAATCCTAAAATCTTAATCAGCATTTTTAAAGAGATAATTGCTAATATGTACATCAATCGGAAATAGTTAAAGGAAAAAAATACAAAAACTCACAATTATCCCAAATGCAATACAATAAATAAAAAGTGTCATATACATATATACAAACAATACTAATTATTTAATAAGGGACGGAGGGAGTATTTATTCTATTTATTTCATCCATTAAATAAGATGTAATTTTCTTAAGTTGTTTATTTGAATTAATAATATGTCCTACACAATTAGACCATCATCACTCATGGTATAAAAATTTATATCATCCTTCTCTCTCTACCACTTTCTCACTCCTCCACATCATGTATACCACAATACAATATAATTTCTCCAAAATTCACCCCACCCATGGTATAAAAAAGCTCCTATAAGTATTAATTATACAATTAATTTAATTATAATTATATTTTATTTTATTATTGGAAATAAATAATTAATGTTTGTAAAGTTAATTAAATAATATAAGCAATTAAGGTAGTAAAAAAGCGAATTCCAAAAAATCTATAAAAGCTAGTATATCAATATGGGTGTCAATGTGTAGGTCTTGAAAAATTATGAACATGGTAATTTTTTCATAATTATTTACTTTATAATTTTTTCTTAAAATGCAATTGAAAAAAAATATATAAAAGATACATGATAACCAACCTACATGGCGTGACTTGGTTGGTTCATGTTACATGGGGATCAAAGCAAATGTTTACCATGAGATGGTATATACCCTTCCATGGTATACTTTTATACCACTATTGTAGTAAAAATTATCAGATTTTGGATGAATATATACATTGTGGTATAAAATTATACCACGAGTGTTGATGCTCTTATTACCATGATTATGGGAAGCCGTATATTTAATTACTTTCACATTCACTACATTTAGTTTAATCTGATAGAATATGAACCACTTCATATTCTGTAATTATTGTTTGTGTAATTATGTAGAGAGTATACTCTTAATTATGCTTGTACATTGGCTATTTATATTGAAGCAATGAGAATACATCTCTTAAGGAGATTTACACAATTCTACATGGTATCACAGCCAATTGGAAAATTTCTTTCTAAATTCCGCAACCCTAGGTCCTAGGACCTTTCATCAACCGTAGCCTCCTTCTGCTATCTAAACCGTCAGCCTCTCCAATGGCAGATGACGATACACCTCCTCCACTACCCCCTCCTCCTCCCTCTACCCCTCCCTTTCACCCAGCCTTTGCTATATCCAAATCGAAAATTTGATGCCTATCACTCTCGATCAGGAAGAAGGACAATATGCAACATGGGTGGTGATGTGGATTAAACCACGGAAAGGGATACTAGCAATTAGGGTAAACCTAATTCAATAAAGTTTGATCTTTTCGACTAAAACAAGAAGAAAAGCAACGTTTTGAAATTAGCTCACACGAATCAACCTCACAATTAATTTCCTTAAACTCAAAAACACATAAATTCTCATTAATGAAAACAAATATTTATAGGTATACAATCCCATGTCCAATAGGATAACGATAACTAAAAAGATAATATTAAATCCTAACAAACTCTAATAATATTAAACCAACTACTAACAGGATAAAATAAGGAAAAATAAATCCTAAACAAAATAAATCTAGACCAAGATCCTTGATCCGCATCAGGTGGAATTATTCCAAATTCATGCTTGTGCGTTCAATGTCTTGGACCACATAGATGCGGATGTTACTCGGCCAATTGATATTGACTCTGCGATTTGGAAGCGTTTAGATGTCATTATTAAGCAATGGATCTACGGTATTATCTCTAAAGACCTTGTCCATACTATCATGAAGCCCGGTGCAACTGCCCTCGAACTTTGGAACCGATTGGAGGAACTTTTTCATGACAATAAACATACCCGAGCCGTTTATCTTGAGGAGCAGTTCAATAACACTCGCCTGGAAAATTTTGCTAACATGTCAGAGTACACTAAGCAAATTAAACTCCTTGCGGATTAGTTAAGTAACGTGGGGAATCCTGTTTCTGAGAGCAAAATGGTGTTGCAAATGATCACATGTTTGCTGAAAGGGGAATATGATACGGTCGCTGCTATCATACAATAGTCTGACCCTCTTCCGAATTTCAATAAAGCCCGATCCCAATTTTTACTGAAGGAAACAAGAAAAACGAAACAAAAAGAACATGGTCATCAAGCCTTAGTAGCGCAAGGAACCACCGGCGACTCCTCTCTATCGCCGCAACCGACGTCTAATCAGCCACGTGGGGCTGGGGGTCGTGGCAGCAGCAACAGTAATCGCAGCCGTGGCCGCGGTGGCCAGCGCGGAGGCAAGGGTTGTGGTGCTGGTCGTGGAAAGCAGACCAACAACAACAGCAGCCACCAACCGCAACTGGGCCACGGTCAGCAGCCTGCCCAACGCTGGCCCAACCAGCAGCCTCAGCAAGCCCAGCAGCATTGGGCTGGTCCGATTTCAGGAGGGTAGGCCTCTCCTCCATGCCCTTTTCCTACCAACCCAGCAGGCTATTTTCAACAACCCCAACAATCCATTTTGGGCCCTCGCCCAAACCAACAGGCACAAGCTTATTTTGCTCTAGTCCAGCAACAAGGGTACGGCCCTCCTTATGACTCCGACCGAGTTGGGTCAAGCCTATAGCTCTATGAGTCTTTCGTCACCTAATGACGGGTGGTACATGGATACGAGCGCCACATCTCACCTCACTAATAATGCTGGAAACTTCCTTAAACTGTTTAGTTTGAGCACTCCTAAGTTTATTTTGGTTGGTGATGGCAAACGCATTTTAATTCATGGCTACGGACATACTTCCACACCTCTACCCGGCCTCTTCTTCCAACTGAAAAACGTCCTCTTTGTTCTAACATCATTAAGAACTTAGTTTCTGTTAGGAAATTTATTTGTGACAACTCTGTTTCTGTTAAGTTTGACCCTTTTGGTTTTTCTATGAAGGATCTTCATTTGGGGACGGTTCTAGCTCGGTGCAATAGTGTGGGGGATCTCTATCCTTTTTCTTCATTTTCTGCTGCAAATGATCTTCATCATCTAGCTCTCACCGCTATCTCTCCTTCAACTTGACATAGTAGACTTGGACATCCTGGAGCACAAGTTTTTAATTCTTTTAGAACAAACAGTTTGATCAATTGTAATAAAGGGAAAAATACCCCATTTTGCTATTCTTGTCCTTTGGGAAAGCACACTAGGCTTCCTTTTAACTCTTCTATGAGTATTTCTTTTTCCCCTTTTGATATAATTCATGCGGATTTATGGACTTCCCCTATTACTAGTAAATTGGGACATAAGTATTATTTGGTGTTTCTTGATGATTTTTCTCATTTTCTTTGGGTTTTTCCACTAAAATATAAGTCTCAAGTCTACTCTATTTTTCTTCAATTTAGAGCATACATTTCCACTCAATTTGAAAAACATGTGAAAACTTTTCAAAGTGATAACGGTCGTGAATTTGACAATGGTCCTTTTCACAAATTTTGTGATGATAATGGAATTTCTTTTCGATTCTCATGCCCTCATATCTCTTCTTAAAACGGTAAGGCCGAGAGAATTCTCCGTACTATCAACAACAAGGCACGTACTATGCTCTTCCATGCCTCTTTACCACCTTCCTTTTGGGTCTATGCCGTTCAAATGGTCGTCTATCTCACCAACATACTTCCGACCACTACTTTTGGTAACAAAACCCCCACTGAAGTCTTATATCGTAGGTCCCCTTCCTACGACCATCTTCGTACTTTTGGGTGTCTTGGCTACCCGAACCTCTCTTCTACGGCAAAGCACAAGCAAGTTGGAACCTCGATCCACCCCTTGTGTCTTCTTAGGCTACCCATCCAACCATCGAGGCTATCTATGCTATGATCTTAGCCAAATTTAGGGAAATGGACTATGATATTTTAGATGATTGTTCTCTCAACAATCTACTCCTTCAAGGCCCAATGCACACGACCCAACCAGCAGCCACTCCGGCCCACACACCTATAGCCCACCCTACCTCTCCTATTTCCACCACAGCTAGTAGTGGGCATAATAGTCCACGCATGGACCGTGGGCCAGTTCAATCTGCCACGGCCCACACGTGGGCTACCCCTACTGGCCCATCTTCTCCTCCATCCTCATCTACATCCCCTATGATGCAATTTTGATCATTCGATCCTAGCCCAATTCCCATACAAGCCACACCAATACCCTCCTCTAGCCCGCCTTGTCCATTGGTGCCCACACACCCCATGGAAACCCAAGCCCAATATGGCATTTTTAAACCTAAAGTCCCCTTTAATCTCATGACTCAATCTATTAGTCCTCTTCCCAAGAGTCCTAGACTTGCCATGTTAGACCTGAATTGGAATGCGGCCATGAAAGAGGAGTTTGATGCTCTTACTAAACAACATATTTGGGATCTTGTTCCAAGGCCTTCTGGTGTGAATATTATTCGTTGTATGTGGTTGTTCAAACATTAGTACAGGAAAAATGGTGACTTGGAGCGACACAAAGCTAGACTTGTTGTAAATGGCAAGTACCAACAGGTGGGGGTTGACTGTGATGAGACTTTCAGTCCATTTGTTAAACCGCCTACCATCCATACAGTTTTGAGTATTGCTTTGGAGAAGGATTGGCTGATACATCAATTGGACGTAAAAATGCCTTCTTGCACGGTGATCTTAAGGAAACTGTGTATATGCACCAACCCCCCGGTTTTGTCAACCCGGGGGCACCTACTCATGTTTGTCGGCTCTGTAAGTCTTTATATGGGCTTAAGCAAGCACCACGGGCGTTGTATTAACGGGTTGCCAATTATCTTCTAAGACTTGGGTTTGTGTGTAGCAAGAGTGATAACTCTCTTTTCATTTTGCACCGAGGTCGCCACTCGGCATACTTATTGCTCTATGTTGACGACATTGTCTTGACTGCATCTACCGAGGCTCTCAAATCAGAAATTATTGGGCTTCTTCAGGCCGAATTTGCCATGTCCGATCTTGGTAGCTTTCGGTATTTCTTGGGTATTTTGGTCACAAAGACCCCTGGCAGCATGTTCCTATGCCAACATAAATATTCTCAAGAAATTATTTCTCGTGCCAAGATGGAAGGTTGTAAACCCGTGGCCACCCCGGTTGACTCCAAGGCAAAATTAGGGGCTCTTGATGGCAAACCCGTGGCAGACCCCTCCCTCTATAGGAGTTTAGCTGGCGCCCTTCAATATTTGACTTTCACAAGACCGGATATCGCGTACTCGGTCCAACAGATTTGCTTGTTCATACACGACCCAGAGGAGCCGCCGACTTTAATGCGTTAAAACGCATCATCAGGAACATACAGGAGACCCTAGACCACAAGCTGCACCTCTATCGCTCCCCTCCAATTGCTCTTGTGTCCTATACGGACGCCGATTGGGGGGGTTGCCCCGACACCCGACGCTCTACATCGGGGTATTGCGTTTTCTTGGGCGACAATCTCATCTCGTGGTCTGCTGAGCGGCAAACTACCTTGTCTAGATCAAGCGCCGAAGTCGAGTATAGAGCCGTGGTAAATGTGGTTGCCGAAACTTGTTGGCTCCGCAACTTACTGCTGGAATTGCATTGCCCCATTCGCTGAGCTACTTTGGTATATTGTGATAACATTTTCGCCGTTTACTTGTCTAGCAACCCGGTTCAACATCATCGAACAAAACATGTTGAGTTGGACATCCACTTTGTAAGGGAAAAGATTGCCATGGGTCATGTACGGGTACTTCACGTGCCCTCTTCTTATCAATATGCGGACATCTTCACCAAAGGTCTTCTTCGGCAGCTCTTGGCGGACTTTCGTTCCAATCTTAGTGTTCGGCCACCTCACGCTTCAAGTGCGGGGGTGTGATAGAATATGAACCACTTCATATTCTATAACTATTGCTTGTGTAATTATGTAGAGAGTATACTCTTAATAATGCTTGTAATTATGCTTGTACATTGGCTATTTATATTGAAGCAATGAGAATACATCTCTCAAGGAGATTTACACAATTCTACACTATCCTAATCGGACAAACAAAAGGGAACAAATGGATTTAACACCATTGTTTGATTTGTTTCTACTTTCTAATACATACTTCGTATAAAATAAAATGATGATGTATATGCCATCTCAATTACATATAGCCCTCTCTAAAAGGTGGTGAATATTTTCATGATAATACTATTTCATTCTTAACTAGCATTGAGATAGATAAAAGTATTATATATTAAGTTAATATAGTGGTGTAATTCGTTTAATAGTAAGAAAATATATGAATTTTTCATCGTCCAAGCACATGTTATTGATGTTAACATGATTTGAATAAATGTATAAGGTATCAATGAGATCATGATAGATAAGTAGAGAACAAGATGGCAAATGACCCAATACGAGTACTATGTAGCTTGGTCATGAAAAAATGATTTTGACACTCCTTAGTTTGATTTGGGCACTCATCCTTGTGATTAGAGACAATGAGACTAGAGCACCAATGTCAATTTATATATGAAATGTCAAAATAAAGACAAATAAATATTCAACTCACCTAAAATTAGTTGTGTAGACTAATTTAGGGAAGAGGAAACTTCATACTCCGTATGTATTACATGCAAGTAATAATAATGCAACTAGAATAACGACATTATTAGACAGAAGTATCCAATTTTTTTTTATTTTTTTCACTTGAAAGAAGAATATATGTATGCTGGACGGCATATATACGTGTCTTTACTAAAATTTCATTCATGGAAGTGTTTAAGATATAAAGTGAGAGGACAAAGGAAGACTTACGAAGACTTTGGAGAGAGACATTTGTATTAAGCAACTAACCTTTGTTTCCACCTTTCAAGTCGATTGGGATCGGAGTATGTTTTAATTTATTTATTAGTTTAAATTGTACCGACCATTAGTGTCTTTAATTTTTTTCAAAAGAATTAAATAATTTATTTTTATTATTAAAAATTTAAAAATTTGATATTATAGAAATATATTTGTTTTTGTATAGACTAATCTAGTGCAGAGTAGTGAAGTTTTACATACTAGATAATAATATTAAATAAAGTCAAAGTTAATATGTAAAAAATACTCGTAGTACAAAATTTTTAAAATTTTTAAACTTATGCAACATTTTAATGTAAAATTTTTAAACTATATGTATAATACCCTTTTTGAAACTATGAAGTATATAGTTCCCTTAGATTATCATAGAGAAATTTTAATAGCTATCGTCAACGATAATTTGACCTTGTCAGGCCATTTTATATTGTCAAATTTAAGCTAATTTAGCTCCTATTTAACTTGTATTTGTTCAACCTATACTTTTTTACATCGAAATTATATAGAGTTGCACAAAATAGTGATGTAAATGAGAATCGTGACACTACCCAAAACCTTGCCAATCAATTAAATATTACAATGAAATTGCCGGTTACTAGTTGTTACAATTGCTTGCTCACTAGGATTACAATCAATTATTGTCTGCCATTATCTCTAAAATAATATTACAGCCCACTTAAACCCTTAAACTTTCATCATTTTTCTTATCAAAAATTATAAAATCTCTAGGTACGACATATAATTAATGTTTGGATTTGACTAAGGTATAACGTTCATCACAAGTTCTCAAATGTAATTATGATGATGCTTGAGTTTCATCAGCATGGTATCAGCCACTTAAACTATTCAATTCACTACAAAGTACGAGTTCAATTTTCCCAAACAACCAAGGAATACACTACTTCAAATTTAACTCTCGGGTTTTGTAAATGTAAGGACTCGTACTCAATTACCTAGTTTAAGCTAAGTAGTCATCCCATGAGATAGGAAAACTTTTCACTTTAAATTCAAATTTAAGTAAAAAAAAAAAAAAACATCGTTCAGATAGTATTTTAACACTGTGATTTGGAAGTTAAAATTTCTCTTAAAGTACGTAGAATTAAGGTCGCGTTTACGTGTATTAAGTGTGAAAGAATTTAAAATTTGTGAGCTGAACTGACGTGTGAAAGATACATACTTTGCATTTTCGTAGAACAATCATGCAAGTCAATTCATCAAGTCAAGGTTCAAAACATTGCTCTCAGCTCCACTAAGCAATTAATTCCAAAAGTCAAAAAGCAACCATATTGACTTAATCAACGTTACACAAAAGCTCTAAAAATAAAGGACAAAATAGATATTATATTAATTGATAAGAAAAAACATAAAATGATTGGTTATAAGAACAAAGAAGAGCAAAAAAAAATAACAAAAACAGAGGAAAATCAAAATAATAACAATAATAGTAAAGCATGAAATCTTCAAATGTAAAACTAAGATCAAATTTATGCAAATGTTATTGTTGCTTAAATCCTGTTAATAGTTTTCCAAATTCTTTTGATCATCAAAACTCAGCAAACGTTGATTCTTCAACTTTTCATTATGACTTTGCAACTGCAACTACATCATCTCTTTACCCAAATACACACTTCACTAACCCTGATTCAATCCCTACTTTACCGGAATCATTCCGGAGTTTCACAAGGTCATTCCCTCAGTACTTAACCACCGTTGAAGCCGATGAAATCCGCGCCAACGAGTACCGCCATTTATTCCTTTCATCTCAAGTTTGTCTTGATTATAGTGGTCATGCCCTCTTCTCTTCCTTACAACAACAACAACAAGGTGAGTTTGTTGCCTCTTCTTCCTCTTATACCGCGAAAATAACAAGTTTTGATATTTTGCATAAGGCTAATGGAGTGGTAATGTCATCAATGATTGAGAGTAAGATCAAGGAAAGAATTATGAGGTATTTGAATGTTACTGAGGATGATTACTCCTTGTTTTTTACTGCTAATCAAACATCCGCTTTCGGGGTTTTAGCTGAATCATACCCTTTCCAATCTAATAAGAATCTTATTACAGTATATGATCATGAAAATGAAGGTGTAGAAGCTATGATTAAGACCTCAAAAGGCAGGGGAGCTCGAGCTTCACAAGCCGAGTTTAAGTGGCCTAAGTTAAAGATTCATTGCAACAAATTAGAAGAAATTGTGGTAGGTAATGTTAAGAAGAATAATAAGAACAAGAAAATGAACAAAGGTTTGTTTGTTTTTCCTGTTCAATCAAGAGTAAGTGGAGCAAGATATTCTTATCAATGGATGAGTTTAGCAAGGGAAAATGGGTGGCATGTATTACTTGATGCAAGTGCCCTTAATCCTAAGGAAATGGACACTTTAGGGTTGTCCTTATTTCAACCTGATTTTATTATTTGCACATTTTATAAAGTCTTTGGTGAAGATCCCTCAGGGTTTGCCTGCCTACTAGTAAAGAAATCGATCTCTCCGACACTGGATGTTTCGAGTTTTACATCTTCCCCTGGAGTTGTGAGCATAACACATACAAAAGATGAACAAGATCACGAAGAGTGTGAAGTTGAGTGTAAGGGACTAGACCAAGCAGACATGTTAGGCCTAGTTGTAATTGGTAGTAGAATAAGATGTTTGATTAATTGGTTGATTAATGCATTATCAGCTCTTTATCATCCACATTCCGAAAGAGGGGTACAACTTGTACAAGTTTACGGTCCTAGAGTAAAATTCGACAGAGGCTCTTCCTTGGCCTTTAACATGTTTGATTGGAAAGGCGAAAGAGTTGAGCCAATGTTAGTCCAAAAACTCGCGGATAGGAATGATATTTCGCTTGGTTGTGGATTATTGAAGCATGTATGGTTCTCTGAGAGGTATGAAGTTGAGAAGGAAAGTGTTTTGATGAAGGGGACTAAAGAAAGCATTAGGAAAAAATTCAAAGGGAAGAAAAAGGAGAGTTGTGAAAGTGGTATATCAGTTGTAACAGTTAATATTAGTTTCTTATCCAATTTTGAAGATGTGTATAGTTTGTGGAAATTTGTTTCTAAGTTTTTGGATGCTGATTATGTTGAGAAAGAGAGGTGGAGATATACAGCACTTAATCAGAAATCTATTGAAGTTTAAATGAATTTAATTATGAAATTACAACTTGTATTTTGTAATTATGAGCTTTCAAAGTTATATCAACGAACATTGTTACTCATCATTTAGATATTAGATATTTTTTGGTGTGTTTATGTCTGTATGACCACTTGAATTTTGGGTTTCAATACGTTTATCTTTTGAAATGTGTGGATAAAACTAACTTAATCCTTCATTTTTTTTTTAATAATTGCAAGACTTGTAACACTTTGACTTTTACACTATTTATGTGTTTCACTTTGACGGTTTGTATTTAAGTAAAAATATAGTCATGTAACACTTTGACTTTTACACTATTTATGTGTTTCACTTTGACGGTTTGTATTTAAGTAAAAATATAGTCATGTAGGATTTTGTTAGATTCGTCTCGATTTATACCCAATTTTAATATCAACTGTTTATAATTTTTACATATTGGTAATTAAAGGTATTCACGATTGAAAACATACATCGGCAGGCGTAAAGAGAGAAAATAATATTTAGGACCAACTCTACTTGAATGAAAGTATAACTAACCTAGCTAAATTGTACAACTACATTATATACATAAAGTATCAATAAGGTCTTGTATTAGTGAATAATACTTAAGGGTATATCCCCCGCCCTTGTGGCTCTCTAAACACTAAATAAATTTAAAAAAAAGGGTTTATAGATATTATATCGCAGGTTCAAATCTCTCTTTCTATTTATAATTTGTATTACTGTATTACCCTTGGCTTGTGATTTATTTAGAACTTGAAGTATGTTTTTATACCTTAGTTGAGCATTTTAGGCCTTTATAAATTGTAAGGCCACGAGATCTTGGGCTTAGCCTGCACAAAGACAAACACATAATGTTGGAGTGTAAGCTACAAGACCCAAATAATTGTTAGAGATGTCTCTAACCATACGACTTGGGAAACAAACACATGGGCTAAGCTCCTAGTAAGAACACATGAGTCAAACACATGGGCCGAATAACTGGTATGACAAAAGGCAATAACAAATTAAGGGGACGTTTGGTTCACATAATTAAGGTATGAGGTATGAGTTTAGAATGGTTTAAACCCATACCTTATGTTTGTTTTATGATTTTAAGAGTTTCAAACCCATACCTCTAACCCCCAAAGTATGAGATTTAGAAACCTTGGAGGGTGGGTTTGGCTCATTCCCATACTTTTAGGTATAAAATAAAAGAAAAAAATTGCATTCCATAAGCATACCAAATATATGGTATTAAGAATCAAGTTCCAAACTCCATACCACTATGGTTTCATTCCTGATTCCAACCCCATACCAGTTTGCAAACCAAACTCCCCCTAATTACTCCATTCGCCTCAGAATATCTGAAACGTTGAACTTTTTTCGCTATTAGCTTTGATCATAATGTTTACTAACAAAACTAAAACATATTTCATCATAAAGTATGTTGTTCAATAGGTATTAATATAAAGTTTTACAATATAATTTTTAAAATAATTTTCATTAATATTTAATTACTCCCTCCGTTTTTAAATACTTGCTCCATTTCTATTTTTTGCACTATTCATTTATCCACTTTGACTAATGTTTGTGATTTATACATTAGAAAAAATATACTCTTGTGTGTACTTGTTGGAATCATCTCAATTAATAGATTATTAATTTTCAATTGTTAGAATTTATACTTATTGATAATTAAAGATATTAGTGATCAAAGATTAACATCGGCATGCGTGTCCAAGAGAAATGAATCAAGTATTTAAAAACGAAGGGAGTATATTTAAAGTCAAACTTTTGATTGACATGTGTATAAAGTTGAACAGCTTATTGTGTCAAATATTCTGGGACAGAGGAAGTATTCGATAAAAAAAATACTTCCTACATTTCCCTAATATTTATCATCTTTAAGAAGTTTCACAAATATAGCAACTAACAACCCCTATTTGCACATGTTTTATCTCTTTCTATGTATTAATATTAGAGGAACATATGAAGTAGAACATATGAACTCAGTTTTACAATAATTGCAACATTTTGACTTTGTGCATTATTTATCTAACTTTGACTACACTTTTTACATATGTATAAAGATTTTAAACAATTATATAAAATATATTGTTGGACCAATCTCAATGTATATTTTCAAAAAGTTTATTTCAAATTTTATTGTTAATTGTTGTGTACAGTTTTTAATGGTACAAGTGTTGTATTGTAAAGACAAATAGTCAAAAGTTAAACCGATGCATTTATCGTGAAAGGGAGGTAGTGCTCGTTGGTTTCACTTATTTTTCACTTTATTTTGGGTAGAGTAGTTAATTTAGATGATCTGGTTGGGTCTGATGATTTTTAAAGTAGTGTTATTAAATTATTGTGTTCATATGAGTTGAAATCTGAATCGAATGTTTTTCGGATCAATTTCAAATCATATCAGGCAGGGAATAGTTTTGATACCTCTAATTTTGAGTCTAATAAGTTCGTATGAGTTCAGTTAAGTTTGGATCAAATACTTTTAGTTAAATAAGATCAAATAAGTACATAAGTAAAATCTAATTGAACAAAACCGTAGACCGTGCGAGTGTATCAGTGTATATATAATGCCATGACCAAGTTAAATACTAACTCCGTTTCTTTTTAGTTGACACGTATTTCTTTTTAGGAAGTTTTTTTTTTTAGTTGACACGTTTTCTTTTGGAGTAAGTTTTTTTACCTTGCATTCACAAGCTACCACACTTGTTTTATCATTCTCTCTCACTCTCTCTCCTCTCCTTAATATATGTGCCTAAATCAAATGCGTCAACTATATAGAAATGGAGGAAGTATATATATATCAAGTCCAGCTTGGCCTAGTGGATAGGAGAGTACCTTCCAACCATGGATAGGAGAGTACCTTTAGTTCTCCTTACCAACCAAAAAAAAAGAAAAAAAAAAGCTATTAAACATTTTATATACTCCTCCACATGTCCTAATATCTCATAAATCTGACGTACAAATTCATTATGTGTCGTAAACGAATCCGGCAAACAATATGTAATCTTCTCCACATTATAGACTCCTAATCGAAATAATATTGCCCATATACACATACATTTAATTTCCTTAAATTAATAACATGCATAAGGACAGTTGGCATAATTATATAAAATTTTGTCAACGCAAAACTGTATCATTCTTAAAACAAATTGATCTCTTTGAATAAAGAATCATCTGTTTGTGATCTTTCATGATTCCTTTTTAATCTTAATACAGTAATATACTCTTCACATTTTTATTTGATCACAAAGATCGAAATCAATCTAAATTTTTTTATTTTAAAAAAAAAAAAAATCATAAATCAATGTAAAATTCTAAACATGCAATAATATACCCGAAAGAAAAGCAAAGGAATTATTTTGTTGATATATTAGATTTTATTCATGTGCAAGGTGCAACTCCTTTAGATATTGAATTTCTAATTCTTTTTTTTTTTTTGTATAGTACGGAGTATATAAATAAAACAAAGCCACAACGTGATGTAATGAATTAGGTGAAAGTGCCATATAATAAAACTATATTTTTCGTATAATTTTTGTATAACATCAAATTTTGAAGAGAAGAAAGCAGTTCACTTGTATGTAGTGCCCTCGAGGGGATCGTGGTATTTCATATCTCAATAGTATAATAATCAAATAATGTTGCAACTAACGTGGTTATTTTATGTCATATGTGAATTCTCACAACACGTGCACCACGAGGATGAAGATCATGCAACTTATTGCTTCTTCTTAACTTGCTTCCGCTTTATAAAACAACTTGAGCACCGGATAAAATAAAAATCAATACTTAAATTTGGGACAGGTATATATTAATAATGATTAAACTTATATATTAACAAGCATAACTCGATATATTGACGTTTAATTAATACTCGATTCGTTTTTCATGTATGTATAATTTTGACTTTTAATGCAATTTATTACGGAGTAATAATTCGTGAAAATAAATGCCATTAATTTTATTGTTGTTGCATTAATTTTAATCTCTAATTCAAAATATCTTTATTTAAGGGAAATAGTACAATTTTTCCTCAAAATAACTTTTCAATTGTAGAGTGTTACAAGTATTGTGATATTTACATTTTTATCATTGCTATCGAGACCCTAATTTCTGAGCGTGACTGGAAAATCATGATAAGTCATTGCTATCGAGACCCTAATTTCTGAGCATGACTGGAAAGTCATGATATGATAAGTCATTGCTATCGAGAGGCCAATTGTGTAGCAGATTGACTAGCCAACTTTGGAGTGACTTCGACTCAAAATTAGTCATCTTTGAGACGGTATTGGAGGATTTTCGTTCCGTTTTATTAAAGGACTCGGTGGCATCACGAGACCTAGAATTATTTCGGATGCTGCATCTTAGCTCTAGTGACTAGTTCGGTTTTTTGTTTTTGTTGTTTTGTCTTTTGTTTTTCTTTCGTTTTTCTTTCTGTTGGTTTTCTTTTCTTTCTAGTTCCTAGCTTTGTAATTCCCTTGTGCTCACCAAAAAAAAAAAGAAAAAAGAAAAAAAAAAAGCATTTTTGTGAAGCGTTGCAAATATTAAAAAATAGAGGAAGTAATTAATACTCTGTAAAAGTATTAATCTATTATTGACTAATAAGCCATGAGGCCCATGATTTTATTAGCAAATTAAATGCAATAAATAAAACTAACACTAGATAACACTCCCAAGTCGTCTAAGGAAAGCACATTTTATTTATGAATTTGCAACCACTGTCCGCCAGGAAGAAACCCTTCAAGCACAATCAAAATTTTTAATGCACAACTCTCATGAGGTGGCCAATATATGCTTGTAGGATAATTATAGGATTATTTTATGAGAAAGTCCTTATCGAAAATTACTCGTATCATTAATAGCAATAAAAAGTTTCTATTGCGGAATAGTATTTTAAAATCTTATGTTGAATTGATAGAGCATTTATAGTATCAAAATATATATCATGTGTCAAAAAACACGCATATTTACATTGGTAGTATATTTACGTCGGTAGTGTAATTATAATAGTACTACTATCGTACTCTAATAAAATAACTTCATTGGGGTAATTACAAGATGTCAATTCAATATAATAAACTCAAGGCATAAGAGTCCAATTCAAATTATTCCTGTATTCAATTA